GGAAGGTGCCATCGAGGGGGATGTCGTAGGGCATTGTGATTTTCTGAGTAACCAACAGATCATCCAAATAGACCCCCTCCCACAGATCACGACCTGGTACATGCCGACCATACACTAACTTGCAGGACTCGTCCAACACACCATGGCGCTTCAAGACCGCTTCATGCGTTGCCTGTGCTATGCAGCATCCGTTCTTATCCCCCATACCTGATACCCTGAAACACAGTCGATAAGGGACAGCAGGATCACCCCCGTGTGCACGCACAACAGCAGGATGGACTCGGCGGCCAACGGAGTTATATCGAACCCAACCCTCAGGAAGTTGAAGAGAATAGTAATAGTTTCTCAAATCATCACCGGAGCCCCGAAGAAATTGATTAGACTTCAATAGCAGCCTCGTGAAGCAAGCGCCCGATGGAAGTTCAGCCCACCTCAGCCGAGGCATGGTTGCATTCTCAGGGCGTCGGTCAAAAATGAGTCTATCCTCATTCTCATTCTTAGCAACACAGAAGAGGCCTCCAGATAACAACCGCCCTTCATGATCACGTGGCAGGTCCGCTTCCGGCACTAGGGTTGCCATCTTCGTCTCAAGCAGCCGCCGCGCCAGATCAGGCTCATCCTCCGGAGCAACTCGATGACAGGCCAGCACCACGTCCTCCCACAACGGCTCAGGTAGCCGTAGATCCGGAAGATTTGCTACCACCTCCCCGCGATCCGGGTCCAACCACTTCAATGGATCAACCTTGCCCGCCTCCTCTGGGACAGCCACCCGATCGGCGACCACAGGCAAAGCAACTGAAGCAAACTCTCCCAAAACCGGAACTGCACCATAACATGCATGTGAGGTGCTGGCCATGCGCTCCAACAACTGTTCAATGGAACCCCGCTTGCCTTCGCAACCGAGTCGGCCCAGCACCAAATCTAAACAACAGAATTCACGCATCTCGCCAAGGAGCTCATCTGTGAAGACTCGCATGCCTTCCATGCTTCGATGGCCCACTCGCGGCTCATAGGCGCTACCACCAGGAGAAGGGCATCCAAGGGTGACAAAATTCCCCCAAGCCACAAAGGCATTGAGGAAGGTCTTGATCCACCAAGAGATAGCCTCCTCAGACCCCACCTCCTTACCAGTAGGAACCAGAGCTTCGGGATATGGTAGCATGCTAGGAAATAATGCTATAGAGTCGCTGGACAGATCCAGCCGTAAACCTTGGCAGCTCTCAAACCAAGTCAAATAACTCAAGAAATCGGAAGTTGAATTATTCCCCACCAAGGCCGGGTGCTTCACATGGACGCCTGAGGGGACATGCACCACATAGGGCCGGATCACTTCTTGGCAGCTGAACCCGAGGGCTCTTCCGCATCCTCCTCGGCATGACCCCGACCCTGAGCTTCGCGGACTCGCTTCTGAAGCTTGTGCAAGGATTCCACGTAGCCCGAGATGACGGCCATCTCCTCTTTGGACCCTGCGAATTCGCGGCGAGATAATGGATCCGGCAGACCTGTTAGTAGCCATGCCGACGCCCACTCGCCATTCTGGATCACTGACTGCAGCTTTGCTTTGAGATTTTGAACCAGTTGGGCCGCTGCGATGTCCGGCTCGCCGGCCCTCAATCTCTCGTAAGCTGCCACATCCATCATCGCGCATCGGTAGATGCCCTTGAACTTTCCCCACTGCTGCTTCTTGACATAATCCCGGAGGGTCCAGCTCTGGCCTGGTACTATGCCGAGCTCGGTGATGACCTCCTGCTCGAACAGCTCGCAAATCCTCTTCGGGCGCTTGCGAATCTGATCGTGCAGCTTGTGGAGCTGGGCAACCGCCTTCATTCCCTTGTTTTGGAAATCGGCGTCGGAACCCGAACTTTCGGAGTCGGAGCCACCAAGGATAGATCGTCGAGCTTGGCTTCGGTGGCCTTTCTTGGGCTTCTGTTGCTCCATGAGCATTGCCATCATCATCATCGGCATCAGCTCTGATGGGGATTGGCCAGCCTCCAGACCCTTCTGCAAGAGCTTCGGGATGTCCGGGCCGTCCTTCTGGCTCCTGCCACTGTCCTTGACCCTCTCCTTTCGAGTTCCTCGGGAGCCGCCTGGCGGCAGGTACCCACCTTTCTTCTTCAGCGGCACCTCTTCGTCTTCGCTGTCGTCGTCCTCCTCGCTCTCGGACTCTTGAACCTCCCCGGCCTGCTGCTGATAGAGCGCGCGCAGGCCGGCCAAGTCCCCCATCAAAGATCCTGACTTCCGATCCTTCGGCTTGCCCTGGGGCTCGGCTTCGCTGCTGTGGAGCTCTTCCTTGGCCCCTTTCCTCCATGCGCGCTCGCATACGGATAGGGGTGGGACATCTTTCGGCTTCAGCCCTTTCCATCCAGGTCTCAAGCTCAGGCTGATTGACTCAATGGGCACACGCACAAAACCGACAGCGAGATCCCCAGCTTCAACCAACTGCTTATGAGATAACCCAGACACTGCGGAAGATGCAGTTCCGATCACGGCGTCCTCTTCGGTGATCTCCGTCACCCATCCACAGATAGGTTGGGCACCGCTCGCCGCAGCCAGTATGCAATACACAATGTCCCCAACAGCTGCCATAGCTGCAAACTACCCTAACAAAATCTTAAGCACAGATGCGGCGGCGTGCCTGCAAGTTCCACTTGACACAGCTCTGCTCGTGTACCTCAGCAACGTGCATTCAGGAATAAGGGGGACAATCCTAAAAACCTAAAACCCCATATATAACCCCAAACCCTGAACCCTAAAAACCTATCATGCCATTTTCCACTTCTTCCATTTGAGTCTGCAATCCTAAACCCCAAACGCCAAACCCTGCAACCCTAAAACCCCCAACCCCAAATCCTAAATCCTAAAAACCTAAAACCCCATATATAACCACAAACCCTGAACCCTAAAAACCTATCATGCCATTTTCCACTTCTTCCATTTGAGTCTGCAATCCTAAACCCCAAACCTTAAACCCTACAACCCTAAAACCCCCAACCCCAAATCCTAAATCCTAAAAACCTAAAACCCCATATATAACCCCAAACCCTGAACCCTAAAAGCCTAAAACCTAAAACCCTCAACCATAAACCCTCAACCCTACTTGTTTCCATGTTCTTTTCCACTAGCTCTTTCAGTTTTCAACCCCAAAACAGTTATAGTTGGTCCTAAACCCTAAATCCTAAACCCTAAACCCTCTATAAACCCTATAGATCCCTACATAAGCCCAATAATCCCTTCAAAGGCCTCAAGGCGTCTTGGAAAATCCGCATCTGCCGAAAGTCGGGATCTGGATGATGGGCGTCAACCCACTGGTGAGACACAAAGGCTGCCTTCCAGGGTTTAGGGTTGAAGGGGGTTTAGGGGGTTTAGCGCTAAAGAGGGTTTACGAGTTTAGGGAGCTTAGGGCTCCGTAGGGTTTATGGCTTGGGTTTTGTTTTGGGCTTCAGGCTTAGGATTTTGGAAATGGCCATGTTGGAAAACAGGTTCCTCTACATCTTCCTGACAGATCTACAGGAACCCTACATGAACTCCCGAGCTTTAGCTCAACCCCGAAATGAAGATGTGTTGCGTGCGAACTGGAGAGGTTTCTAGTGTTGAGACTGGAAATTTTTGCACGACCTCATATACTGCAATACCATATTTCCCCATGTATACTTAGGCGCTCTAAACCCTAAACCTTAAGCACTGTAGCGTCGACCGCAGGAAATACAGCGCAGAGCGGACGAGGTGAAATAATTGAGGGCGTGGGGTTTAGGGTTTAGGGTTCAGCAGCTTTCAGGCTAGCAATTGGGATCTGGGGTTTCCAAAAATTAGGCGCCCCCTTTTGGAGTTCCCATTACAAGGATGGTATTATTTGAGAATCTTTTTTGAGACCTACTAATTAACCTTGGAAGCGAAAATTCCTTTGCGGATTGGAAAAGTCAAGAACCCCCAACCTTTGCGTGGATACTTAGTTCAGATTACCTGCCAACAACCAAAGACAACCTGAGCCCTAAACCCTGAACCCCTAAACCCTACACTCAACCCGGATAGCCCCCTGAGCATGCATGCCACCTGCCCCTGGCTGCCATCGAAATCCACAAGCATGCCTTTGGCCTGGTGTCGGTCGGATTAGATAGAGCGCACTAAAGTTGCGGTTTAGCTCCACACAGTCTAGGGTTCAGGGCTTAAAGTTTAGGGTATAAGGCTTGGGGTTTCGGGTTTAAACTTTGGGGTTTGGGGTGTATGGTTTAGGGTTTAGCGATTAAGGTCAAGGAGACCGGCGGCAAACCTCAACCGCCCAGCCAAGAACCCTAAAGTCTGACGGGCATCTGAAATGTACATATACAGAAAAACCTCCCTGCGTAGTGACAATCAGCTCCTATAGATACGGTCGCTACTCCTTACAGCACCATTCACCACATGAGGTGCTGGGAAGTGTAGTTTGGGTCATCTGCCCTCACAGTAACTGCCTTCAAGGGGGTTCATTAAGCAGCCCTCATGACTCATCAGTCCAACTACCTTTGAAGGCAACTGTTACTGTAATGGGGAATGGCCTAAGTTCTTCTACTTGCCTAGTCAAAACCTCGTCTAGCTTTTACTATGAGGCAAATCACGCAACCTATAAACCACGCTCCCCCAAATACTAACTTTCATGCCTTAAAGCCCTGCTTAGGGTTTAGGGTTTCAGGTTTAAGGTTTCGGGTTTACGATTTAAGGGCTACAGTTTAGGGTTTAAGGCGTTTAGGGTTTGATTGGGGGCCGGGGAAGGGGGGGCTTAGGATCAGCAAAACTCATCTTCAGGACATCCCTAAATCCTCCTTTCCACCCTGAATCCCGAACCCCTAAACTGAGTGAGCCCGGGGCCGTGGAGCAGGGCGAACGCACCGAAGCCGGCAGGCGAGGTAGCTCCGGAGCCCAAAGCCCCGGCGGGCTCCCAAGCTGTGGGCTGTGCGGTAAGCCCGGCAGGCCGCTGACGAGTGTCCTTCTTTTTCTCCTTTTGAGGTGCTCTCCCCCAGAGGCCTCCCTGAGCTTCTCTGCTGGCATTCGCAGGGTAAGGGGCCGGCCTCCTTGGAACCCAATTTTCACGACGCTCCCACAATGCCCTGCAGGAGGCGTTTCAGGGGCTTATGAGCGCCTCCCCAAGGCCTCCCAAGGCCTTCCACGACCTCCCAGCCTCGCGGCTTTGAGGAGCCTCCCAACGACCTCCCACACGGGTACCTCGGCTCCTCCCAAATACCCTGAGCCTCAGGAATTCCAGGAACCTCTCAGTACCCCAGGGCCTTAGAACGAGTCTGTAGGCCTTTCGCTTTCAGAAGAAAAGGAGCAGGCCAAGTTCTCCTCTCTGCTTTCAGATCAGGAATTCTGCTCCAAACA